AGGGAAAGACTGCAGGGAGAGAAGAAAGAAGAGGTGAGATAGGCCACAGTGAGAGATTGGCGTTGTGCCATATCAGTGAGTTAGTGGTATGCTGGGATCATCTGCCTGAAATGGAGAAGCAAAACTCAAAGGTCATTGGAGTGTGTTGCTTTTCTAGCAAGGCTACACGCAAAAGGGTATTTAACATTGCAATGTGGACAGCAGACAAATGGAAGATTTGGCTCATAAGATAGCCTGTCTGAGGCTCAACAGCCTTGGCTGTGCTTCCTAGTTGCAACAAGGGTAGGAAATGCTTGGAGGTCCTGTGTGTTACCTGGCTGCTGCTTAATACCCTTTTTCTCCATTGCAGGTCAGCTCTGGGTTCAACACGCTCATGGGCTTTGTCTCCAGAATGCATAAATAACAGCCACGCCTGAGGCAAACCCAAGGGTGACCTTGCATCAGCTCTTCATATATGCTTTATGCTTTTTTCCAGGTGAGAGAATAAGAGCAGATCAAGATCAGGCCAGAGGATGGAGTGCAATAAGAGCTGTGTGCTTCTGTACTGTGCCTACCTAACGCCACCTCCCTGCTGAGGTGTAAGGTGAGAATATGCTTCCTCTCACACACTCACCCTTCAGTTAGTTATTCACTTGAGATTTGTGTACAATAATTATCCGCAAAGTCTCCCAAGCTTTCCACTGTGTTCTTATCAGGCATATGGGTGACTATGCATTGGTTTGAAGAGCAAGCTGTACAGCACTCCTGTGCTGTCATATTAGTCCACACTCTTGCACAGTTCCTATGTGTTGTCACGCTCTGGCATGAGTCCAGGCAAGGAAGATCAGTTAGAGTAGGGACTAGCTTGAACTTAATCTAAGGTCATGATAAATAGTCCTGTGAAAAGATCAGCGTAGTGCTCACTGCTGGTAAAGCAAATCAAGTGTATTCTGTTGTCCAATACAAGGACTAGGGGCCAAACATGAAATTACTAGGAACCCAAGTCAAAACAAAGAAGGCAGTATTAACTGCACAAACCTCATCAGGTTTTGGAAGTTCCCTCAGCTGCAGAAAGCTGGAGACGGAAAGACACAGACAAGTGTCATGCTCATCCTGTTCTTTCTCTTCTGTGAGTAATGCTAACAGCCACTGCTGAGGTCAGGACACCAAGCTGGGCAGACCCTTTGAATCAGTCTGGTCAGTCTTATGGTCATGCCTCTACAGGCAGCGCAGATGCAGCGAGCTCTACCTGCCGCATGCAGTAACTCAAACACATGTCCAGCCAGGCACAGCTAACCTAGACAGCAGAGAGACTGTAAGCTCCCCGTTATATGGCAGGGTAATTCTGTCCCACAGTTACTGCTGGTAATAGCCTTGAGTGTTAACCTTCCAAGTGGCCAAGGTGCAAGAGAAGGCTTTAGATAACCCATTGGTCAGAGCTCCCTGGGAACTGATATCAGAGATAGCCTGTGCTTTTAGTAACCTTGGTGCTGCACTGTTCTGCCCTGCTGAGCATGTGTCAGTCTGGACTGATGAACAGAGTCAAGTACTTCATTGTCACAGCTCTGCCACATAGGTTCAGCCTTGAAGTAAAGGGTCATTTGCTATTCCTGGCCTCGGGCTCTTTGGAAGAGACTTTCCTTGATGAGTCAAACTTAGCATTTTCACAATAGAGAGAAATATACTGATCAGGGAATCAAACACCTCTGCCTTTTCATCCCTGCTTGGGACAGATTCTCTGTAGACAAACAGGAAAATTGGGGCATGCAGCTGGTCTGAGAGCTGCCAAAAAATGAGTGGATCATAAATAAGCAAGTTAATTCTCTCCATAGGATCATTATTGGCACAGGCATAACGCTAATCTATAGTCTCTCATCTATAGTTCAGAAATAGCTAGAGAACAGCTGCTTGGTAGATAAAAATAAAGCACACTTTAAAAAGCAAAAACAATGATGTTCCAGCAAAAAAAGATCTGAATAGTAAGGTTTTGGTAAAATAGCTGAGGGGAGCAAGGTGGGTGCGCTCTTGGTGAAATTTCTCCCAAAAAGCAACTTGAACTGTTTCGCAGAACCTTTTAGTTTTTAGTGCCATTGCTATCTTTGGTATTGAACCAGATCCTCAGGGGGGTTTATCTTAATCTGCTAGATGCTGAATAGATATTCTGAAAGGTGATTCTCTCTCCAGCAGCATCTTGCATTTGATTTCTCATTGACCTATGCTCAGCTTTGGTCTTTGACTGCATATGGAGAAATGGATGACTTTGTCAGCTAAATGAGGAATTACACAAATCACTTAGGTACTTCTAAAACAAATGTATTTGGGAATTTGTTACTGAATGGTTTTATTCTTGTGCAGAAATCCGGCCTCTTTTCCTGTGAGGAAATCTCAGATGTGAAATCTCAGAGTTCATAGTGGTTATTTTGTATGTTTCTAAACCACAAAAATGACTCCAGAATATGCATGTATTTCAAAATAGGGCATTCTGTTTTACAGCGTACGGTGGTTCCTTTCATGTTGCAGCCTCCTTAAGCTAGTCTAGAAACAGAGCTGTTGATTAGATGAGAAGCCTTGACCTATGAAATATTTCTGTTACACTTTAATGTATTACTGTTATACTGTGACCAAGTGATAAGATTCTCCTTGGAAAAGATACTGGTTTATCCAGTTTTATGTTGAACTGTTCCAATGAACTTAAATTTATCTCCTGACAGTCAGAATTGCAGCAAGTGGTACAGTGAGAATGAAACTGAGTTTGAAGGAAAAGTTTAACTTGTTTTTTCGCTTCAGCTGATCTTTCAGCATGCACCAAAGCCCTGTTTGAAGGAATGGGATTTGCATGCAAAATCTTAGAGTTTGCCAGAGACTTTTAAAGAGTTACAGAAGGAAGAAAATGCAAGTCAGGAACATCAAACTGGTGAACTGGATCTGACCAGCATCTACCTCTGATAGCTAGTATCTCGGTAAAGTGAAGTACAGAAATTTCTTAATGTTTTTAAGGCAAGGTTAAAGATGCAGGAATGGTTTAAGTTGTGGCAAGGAAAGGAATCCAAGAACCTCCTAAGGCTTTTTGCAGCCCTTTTGTTCATGAACTTCTGTGGCACTGCGTTAAGCAAGCTCATTTTGACATGCTCCTTTTCCAGTTTTGAATTACCCACTCTTATTTGAAAATGTTTTTTTTTGCCTTGAGATAAAATATAGACAGAAAAGATTCCCAGTGCCCACAGTTAAGCTATGAGTCAAACTTAGCATTTTCACAATAGAGAGAAATATCCTCCTTCTTGAAGGATGCTTCTCACTTCTTTTTTTCAGTCAAGAAACCATAAGGGTTTGATTTGGGGTTATGTTCTGCTTTGGGGACAGCAGGCCATTATGTGATACTGCACTTATTATCAGTTGCCAAATGCCTCTATAAAAAGAAAGAACACAACTGGACACTGACTATAGGGTTGTAGAAAATAAAGACTGATTTCACAGATAGATTCTGCTACCCTGAACTCATGTAAATATTTATAAATATATTGATGCTGGATAAGCAGAAAATTTTCCACCGGCTTCATTTGCAGTTTAATCTTTGACTAGGCCATAGCTGCAGTTTGTTTGAAGTGAAAGTGCGTGTGTTTACTTTTTCACCAAACCACATGAATGGTGAGATCATCATGGAGGTCTGAGTGCAGCACATGTGAACTGAGTTTTCCTCTGCACATTGCCCTTTGAGGGCAATGAATCTGCGAAGGCCCAGTTCTTCCAGGATGTGAGCATGACTGAGTGTGGCTGTAGTCCCTTGAGCCAAATGACAGTGTGTCTTTGCATCCTATCAGTTTCTGAAAGGGAGCAGATGTGCTGGGAAGTACAGAGCATGCTGGATTTGACTATCATCCCCGTATGCTGTGATCTGAGGGTGTGGTGATCATTTTTCTAAGGGCCTGCCTGCCTGGGGCTATGCACACACAGCCACTCAGCACTCTGCACTTATTCTCTATGTGGATACTTGTACGTGAACTTGGAGTGACTTTATTTTTGCAAGCTATCCACTGTTGTTTTTCAGCACAGTGGGCTACTTTGTGCATGCTAAGATCATCTTTCTCAGGATGTTTATGCAGAGCAGCTAGAGCTCTGCTAACGTGGCCTCCATTACTGTTCATTAGCGGGTCTGGGTAGAGAAGATGTGAGATCTTCCCAAAAGGCATTCTTAGTATGCAGTTGAGTGCCTATACCAGATGTTACTGTTGAGTAGCCAAAGGCATGGCCACATGAATGCACGGTGGTACTCCAGAGCCTTCCTGGGTAGTACAATTGATTCTCGCTTAACAACATTATCAGTGCTGCCTTCCCCAAGCATTTTTGCAACTGTTTTCAAGATGCAGTGGTGGAAGAGGAAGTGGTTGATGCCTCTGGACAATGAAGACTGAACTTAAATTGATGAGACCAAAGCGAAGAAAGACCACCCTCTGAGAACAGCCAGGGAGAGGATGATTGCAAGGTAATGAGTTGAGGGTGGGGAACAATAAAATTTTAAAATGGTTCCAACAAAATATAAGGTTTTGCTTTTTCTTCCTCAAACAACCCCCAAAGGCACTAGGACAAAACCATTTTGGTTATTTATCTGACTGGGAGGTCAATGTCTTTTTGAATAACAAGTGGGTGGAGTGAGCCTTTATTTCTCTCCTCTTGGACTCAACTGCCTAAATACTGCAAAGAACGAACATTGGACAAATACGGCCTTGGCCAAGACCCAGGAAAAGAGGACACAAGCTCAGTGCCAAATTTTTCCTAAAAGGAAGCTATGTGAATGGACAAATGCATGTAGGAAGTCATAAGTATAACTCGGAGCAGGAGCTGGGTCTCACACTTTCAAAGTTTCCTGAGCTGCTGCTTCTGTTAAGCCTAGCAACCCCCTGGGCTTCCCTATAGCTCCTTTAACTCATTCATTTAGCACAGCAGGTTGTTACTTCAGAGATCCAGCTGCTGGCCCCGGTGATGTGGCCATGGCTTGTCTTTTCTGATTCGGAGGGTGCCAGGACATGTGTAGGGAGCATGTTTGCTTTTGTTTTGTTTTTTGTTGAGAATTGTGTTAATGATGCCAAATGTGAGTTCAGTTTGGTTAATGCAAAAAAGTTTTCAGCATCAATGTCAAACCATTGTTTTCATTAAACAAGTAGGTACTAGTCTGGGGTAGACGAGTTAACATACAGTTTCATAAATGCAGACCCCCCCCCCACGTGAAAAGGAGGGGATGCCTTTGGCGGCAGTGGTCTGCAGCTAGATTTCATATACTAAGTAGAGAGAGAACACACAGGCTCAAAATATTTGGTCAGGTCTTCTAAATGCTTCATCTTGAGGTTTTGTGTTAGACCACATGATCTGCATTTATAAAGTTCCCTTAAACAAAATCTTGCATGTTTTTAGTCTCTGTTTTTACTGGAAATGAATGAAACATTGAAGCATCAGAGTGCTGTTTTGGCCCACAGAGGATAATGTTGGGAGTGTTCCTCTAATAATTAAAAACCAGCAGAACATGAAGTTCTAATGTGTGAAACAATGTAGTGTACCAGGATAACTTGGCACAGAGTGATAGCACACCTTAAGCCTGGGTAGAGGGGAAGGGTGGATGCTAGAGAGGTGCTGTAAGTGTCCTGCCATGAGTTGTCAACAGCAGAGGTAGCAACAGTGACTTCTGACAGCAGAGATCTGTTGTTCCTTAAGCTCCTCCAAATCAGAAGACAGAATGAGGGCTGTCTGGCAGGTTTCATGAGTAGGACATGGATAGTATAACTTCTCAGTGACCTGAATGTCAAGTCACAAGGAAATTTCTTGCATCAGGGAATGGTTAAGGTGCAAAGTGTTCCTCTTGAACAATGCTCTGGCTATTTCTGGCATATTCTGCAGCATTACCTTGGGAAAACATAACATTTGCTTGTTTGAGTTCTGAGATGTATATCATGGCTGACCAAAGGGGAAACAAATTGATCTTGGCAACAAATGCACTTGGGCTGTCAATACTGTGAACTGCAGGGTATGACTTGAGGGTGAAATGAATGATTACCAGTGAAGTCCATCCCTTTTTCCTGCAGGCCAGAACCTTCTCAAGCTGCCTGAATCCCAGTTGCAGTGTGTTGAATTCCCCTGTATGCAATGATAGGGGATGATTTGCCTAGCTACCGCTACATAGCGTGCAAGGGTTATTCATACAATTGAAAATGTAGCTTTCTACCTCTGTGCCTGGTATTTCTACCTGTACAGACGAAAGAAGTGATCCTTTGCCTTGTCTAAATGGAGTTCTTTTCATGGGTTCTCTTTTTTCCATAAACCATGTTTTTAAGAAACAAGCTCTTTGGGACCTGCTACGTCACTGTTACACTGCTTTTGCTAGATCACTTTGTGCTCTTGCTAATCTGGATTGATATCTTCTCCTCGGTATTATCCATCAGAGGCTAAGCTTTACTGTTATTTTTTAAAAGGAAAAAACTAAAGAACAGAGGAGAAACCTTTGCAAATCACTTGCTTTATTGACAATTTAAGCCTGACAAATCTACTCCCTTGTACCCTGCCATTCAGACATCTGTGGATTCCTCAGATCCCAGCTGGGACATACTGCATTAAACTTCAGTGAGCCTGTAAACTAGTGGTTTAGTAGAGATTTTTTAGACCGCTTCAGATTTTCCTAGGAAAAACTTAAATTTGTGCCACAATAAACATGTTTTTTGTCAGTTTGTAGCAAAGAAAGGAGTTGGAACAGTTGGTTAAATACATCCTCAGAGAGCTGTGAATAGAGATAATATAAAGTCCTGCT